CGTGTGCAAAGTAATTTGCATGTTAAGATTAAAAATACTTTTCCTCATCTCAAAAATTTCAACTTTCCTTTGTGTAATCCCTAAAACCTCCTAAATGCATTTCATACGTTTTTTTAAAACTAAAACTTTATAGCATATCTGCTATTTTCTCTTCCCCATCTCAAAACGGAATTAATCAATTTGACTGACCTTGTAAACCAACCAAAAAAAAAAAAAGAAATAAACCTAAATTAACTTTTTTTCTTTCTAGAATGACTTCAAATTGTAACATAAACTACATTTGTTTATTCTAAGTAGCTCTAAGTTTTTAACATCATACATCTATTTATAATTAAATTTTATTGTTTTATTGCCCTTTGAACCCTGTCTAACTACTATCTGCACCATTTTAAATTGTAAATCACTCGGGGAAGGTGCAGCTCACATTACACTATCGAATTACATTACTCACGAGCTGCCCATGTGCGTGCCTCGTGAACCTTTTTAATTATATTATTATTATTATTTATTTTACCTAATCTAATCTTAAATAACTTAAAAAGATTCATATTTTTAATTTTAGTTATTTTTATAATAATAAATAAAGAATAAATATGAAAAACAAGAAATGAAGTACTTAACCAATCTTTTTCTTGCTCTTGATTGTCGAGGAGAGTTAAGGCAGATTTATTATAGTAATTATAGTAATGCACTTAACAAATTTATTTAATTAAATACTGCACCAAAGAATATAGACTAATAACAAGCAAAAAGTAGACAAATTCCCTTACCTCTCATAATTTTTCAGGCTTTCTAACTAAGCGACAAGAGTCGTTCCAAATTCATCCAAGCTAGTAGTTTGACTAGCTGTATGCAAGAAATTTTGCAGCTTTTGGAAGTAAATACTATTATAACAAACTCAGTCAAAGAAAAAGTTCATACTTTCCACCATTGATCTCAAACATTTCATGATATTTTCTCTGATAGATAGGAGATGTTGCAGTAGAGATAACCTGGCTTCGAGTACAGGTGTCTCACTCACCCTGAGTACAGTAAGAAACAACTTGACTCAGTACATTTGCATAAAATGTAGCTGCATAAAATCATTTGCAGTGGAGAGGAAATCAAAAGAAAAGTCTGAAATCTGTAATGGAAATGAAATAGTGAGATGAGTAGACCTGACGGATGGTGTTTTTACCAATTATTTCAAGTTTGAAATTATGGGGGATGAATTTATGCAGCTTTAGAGTAATATTTCCTACGGTGCTTTTTTCGAGGCCCAGGAAAAAGTTATGATAGCAGGAAAGACTTTAATGCATAATAACATTATATTAGGAACATATCTAATTGGCCAGGGTTTCATATTTCAGTAGTATAATGATTGTAAGTACATGATCAACATGGAAAAACCTACCAGGAGAGGAACGGGCAGTTGGAACACTAGAACTCCCTTAACTTGCCCAAAGTTTGTATCTGAACACACGGAAGGAATGTAGGTTTACATGAATAAAAGGCAAGCAACCCTTGGCATTTGGAGAAACATTTTATTAATAATTTCTGTGCATTATATTAACCAGATGTCTTACAAAAGATTTACACCAAGTACTAATATATGCAGTTATATATTTGTACACTGCCATTATAGTTTAGCCTGTTGTAAGTCTATAGACCTATATATACTCCTAAGCTTACATGAAACAAATATTTTTCAGGTGAGGCATTGTTTTCCAATGTTTCTATGTTTATTTCCATAACTTTATGTACATAGCCTCACCCAAATACTAAATGTAGATGAGAAACTGAAAAACTTCAAATTGTTTTGAAATGAACTAATATAAATATGCTTCAAAATAATGATGTAAAATATTAATTCACAAGTCACAGTTTGAACCTAACCATGACCTGTATCATTTAAGTTGATCAACATTGTCAAGTAATACTTAGGGTTTTTACTAATGAACCAAAACTTCATTTGTATAAAATTTGATTTCAAGTTAATGATGAGGAACCCAAATTGAGGCTAATAAAGTTGAAATGTTGTATATTTATTTACTGTGTTAAACTTATTATTTTATTAGTTCATCATTTGTATTATTTTTCTATTTTGTGTATTAAATCTGTGGTTTTTGAATATAGTAGTTTAATAACTGATGTTATTAGTAGTCATGATTAAAGAGAAGCAAAGTGTAATATAATGGTATTTTGTTTTTAGTATGGAAGGTAGGAATACATGGGAAAATTCAGATACAATGTGTTCATTCTTTAGGGGAAGTGATTTCTTCATTAGAGGAGCCTGGTACCAATATTGATCTGGATGATCTTCAGATAACACTTGATGTGTTGTGTTTGACTTTACATCCTGAAGTGGAGGAGCTGGTAGAATCAGATAAAACTGTACGTACAGTGTCCTATTGTAGCACCTCACCAATGCCAGAGTCTGAACCTTTGAAATCTATTGATGAAGATGAGGATGACTTGTCAGCATCTCATTCAGAGTAAACAATTTTGTTTGCAATATTTTTATAGAATTGATTGGTACTTAGTGTTTTGACACACACACACACACACACACACACAGGCACACATTACTTGAGTACATATGTTAGCATTACTAATGTATTCCCTTATAGAATTATTTTATGTAGTATTGAGTTGGAGGTTAAGTATTTTATCAGTTATTTGTGGAAAGTAAGAATAGTGTGGGTATTTTAGGAGCTTGTAATATCTCTATTTGAATATTTAATTTTCAGCATACAGACAGAGATTGCATGCCACCAACTTAGTCATCTGCCAAGTTTTCAACAAGAGACAGTGAAAATGTGTATTCAAAGGGTAGGAATCTTTACTTCTAAATGTATAACCAATTTTATTATAGTATTGAAAACTTGAATGTCAAAAAACCAAAAAAATATATATCTAATATATTTTTGTAACATTTTATGAATATGTTTTTTTGTACAATCACATCCCCATTTCATCTTACCTTGCTGTGCTGGTTGCATGCATTTTTAATAGGTACACAAGGTTTTAGTGTCTTACATTCAAAATTTAATTAAACTACTTTTTGTTTATGTTATACCAATTAGTATAGCATAAACTCTTAGCCTAATAATCCATATTTTAATAGTATATAAGTTTTAAGTTCTTAATTTTATAAAGCAATATTTAAAATAATCCTGAATTTCCACTAGTGTGACACACGTGATATATTTTCTCTAGGTATGCCGTCTTCTCTATTTTATCCACCACCTTTCCAATAACAACAAAATTAAACATAAATTACTCACTATAAAATCATCATTGCTCATACAAACCACAATTTTTATAGCCTTTAATTTTGTTTGGTTACAGAGCTATCAAATAGAAAATCAGACCCCTCTTGCTGCACTCACCTGTCACATCCTCTCTTTCAGGATTTGTTATTAGTTCTGTCTTACATTTAATTATATATCATCTATAACCAAAAGAAAGCCAAGGTTTTTGTCTATCAAATGATGTATTATATTCTGTAGTGTTTGAACAGATAATGATCAATTTCACTTGTAATACAAGCTTCGTTCCCATGGGAAAGACAAGGGATAGCTTGGATGAATTTGTAACCGCTCTTGTCGCATAGTTAGAAAACCAGACAAATTGTGATTGATAGAGGAAATTATCTGCTTTTAGCATGTCATTATTCTTTGTTTTTTGGTGCATTATTTAATTTAATAAAAATTGTTTAATGTACTACTACCATTAGTATAGAAAAAAGTAGAGTTAAGTGTCATCGACAATGGACAGCAAGAAAAAAAGAATACTTGAATAAATACCTTACTTCCTGTTTTTCCTGTTTGTTATTATAAAAGTAAATAAAATATAGAAATAGGGGTCTCTTTCAGTTAGTTAAAGTTAGATTAGGTAAAATAAATAATAATAATATAATAAAAATGTTTAATGAGGCACGCATGCGAGCATGTTATAATTTTATCACACTATAAAATTCTTATGCTTCTGTACTAAACCATTATATATTTGAGATTATTAAGTTGTGTTGTCACAAGTATTATTAAGTATTTGGCAACTGTCAACACTTTCATTCAATTATGCTGTAAGAGAAATATATACAAAGAATATGATCTTTTCCTTATAGACATAAGTGCCCAAAACTGAACTGTCAGCATGAACTAGCTTGTTATAAAATATAACTTTGAGTTGTTTTTTTTGCATGAGTTTATATTTTATGTATCTTCCAGCATATTCTTTAGGCAAATCATGGTAATGTTTTGTACTAATAATTTTCAGTCCCTAAAATAACATTATGGTACATTGTTTAATATTCAAGTAAATATATGTTTTAATTTTGTACTTTTAAGCAGATTTGAATGTATTATATTCATTGCATGCCTGTACATAATACTGAATCATAAAAGCATTACACACACACTGGTAATGAATATGAAACACCATTGATTGTGAAAAAAAAGTCTGAAAATAAAGCATTTCATCACTTAAAATTCATTTCTTTTCTACCAGCATACTTTAAAAGCATTTTGGCAGTGTATAGAATGAGTTTTTGTGCCTATACAAGAGAGTGATTGCCTTTTATAAACACGGAGACTTTAACACTATTTAAACAACCTAGGTTACTTAAAGTTGGTGTGTAGAACATTTTATGATGTACTTTAATGATAACTAGCCATAGCCCAATGGTTAATGTATTGTGCTATGGATTGGAAGGGCTTAGGTTTATGTCATGATACTACTGTACATACCACATTTCCAGCTGTGTGTGCATCTTAGGAGTGACAGAAAATCTCATTAATTGGATTAAAGACAGTATATGAAAAGTATAATTTACTTTTTCTATAAAGGCATTTCTCTTGAAGCACTATTGAAAGTTGTCAAATATATTTATTTTACCTGTAATAAACTTGGAAATAAGACCCAAAACTCGAGCGCTTTCGAATAGTTGACAATTCTTCTTCTTTGTTCTCCTGAAGAAGAATAGTCAACTATTC